CTCAGCACCACATAAGCAAAAAGAAAAAAGCCGAAAGTGGTGCTATGGCTCAAGCGGTAGAGCGCTAGCCTTGAGCTGAAGAGCTGAGGGACAGCACCCAGGCCCAGAGTTCAGGCCCCACAACCGGACCCAAAAATAAAAACAAAATAAAAAAAAAAGAAAGGCAGCGTACGAAAATTGGGTTATTACAGAGTTAGTAGCACTATTTAAGAATGTTTAGGGGGCCTGAACTCAGGCCTCTTACCTGCTGGGGGGGGGGGTGTCCTGAGAACCTAAAGTAAGTTTCTTGGACTTTAACCATTTGATTGGGCAAAAGAGCCAAGTAAAGCCATTTGAATTTGGTAAGTTAAAAACAAAACGATACGTGCATAAAGAGTAAAGGATTATATATACATATATATAGATAAATTTGTTAGAGTTGTTGCTTTAAAAAAAAGCCTAAAGCCATACACACACAGCCACACACACACCCCACAAACCGCTTGCACCTCGGAAGCATCATTAAGAGCGGGGAGCGAGGTTTAAGCACACAGATTAACCCTCGGTCAGTGAGAAGCACATGGCCAACTCCCATCTCCATTATTTACGAAGCTATTGTCTATATCAGAACCAGTTTCTACATCCTCAATGCCTCACAGGAGAGCCCGGCGCCAAAGCACAAACGTGGACCATGAAGATCCGAGAAGGTCTTACGTACCGTGTCCCGCGGCCACGCCGCTCGCACTCGCTGGCCGGAAGTGGCCCCGGGGATGGAGGAAAGCAGCACGCGCCCCGCCGCCCGCCCCGCCTCTGGCGGCCTCCCCTCCTCATTGGCTGGCCGGCGCTTGTGCCCGCCCCCGTCCCTCCCGCCCTGGGCGAGGTTATCAGCGGGGCTCCCTCCCGCCCCTGGGTGCGGCCTGAGCCTGCCCCGGCGGCCGTCTCCGAATCACTAGCACCCTTATAATCTAATCCTGCCACACGGGGTGCCACGTAACGTCTCCTCTCCCCCGGGGCCTCCTGCACTCTGAGGAGTGGGAGATCCACGAGGTCAAAGCCCTGTTTAGGTAATCGTGTGCCGCGAGCCAGGGGGGTCCGAGCTGAGCAGCCCGGAGGAAAAAGTGTTGGGACCCGCTTGGCTCCGGGCGAGCGCCGAAGGCGCCAGGTTTTCAACGTAGATCACCACCTAGAACCCACATCTGCCCCCTAAAAAATGAGGCCGCCGTGCAGAGGCACTGAGAGCGAGACTGGATTAAAGCGTGCTCCTGGTATTCAAATCACAGAAGGGCGGGGCCTGATTAGGTTTTCCCGTCTGCATCTCCCGGATGAAACTAAACTTGGCGTCCCAACAAAACGCCTGGAGGTCCTATCGAGTACCCCTAAGTCCTCCTTGACACTTTTCCATATGGCCTTTATTTTCAGAGGCTTAGTCGACACAGAAAGCCTCTCCACACAGTTAAACACCGACAAGTGAAGCTGACAAAGTCGCTTCAAGAGACGATTTTCCTGTAATGGCGCCTGCGTCAGACACTAACATGGCGGACTCGTTCGTGCGCGGAGCAAACGTCAGCACCTCTACCATAGCCGCTCAGAAACAGCCGAGGAGACCACGAACGAGCTCACTGATTGGCCCGTGGGTGGGGCGGGCGGAGCTGAACGCTCCCCGAAGAACCAATCAGGAAGGCTTTAAAAGGAATTGGCCGCTGCGCCTTCTCCCGAGGCATGCTGGGAGCCTGGAGGACTAGCGAGGAGGAGTTGAGAGAACGGAGCGGACGCCATGGCGGCCGACATCGAGCAGGTTTTTAGGTCTTTCGTGGTCAGTAAATTCCGGGAAATTCAACAAGAGCTTTCCAGGTATGTACTCCCCGGATTCTTCTGCTCCCAACGGGTTATTAGAGCCCCATTTTAGCCTTTCGTGGTAATTCTTTCTTCGGAGACGCCGTCGTTCCTGGGCTCAGGCCCCGCTACGGCCCCGCCTGGGCCTGGGATCCATTTTACGGGCTCTCCCTCCCACTCTTCCATCCGCTCCTTCCCTTCCCCTCCGATGAGCTTCGTTTCCCCCCGTGGTTCTCCCGGCTAAGGCTTCCCCCCTTGTCCCCGTCAGGTCTCCCCGACCCTCCCCTAGTCGGAGGCCTGACCGTCCACCGGGGACGGGCCTAGTTCCTCCCGCAGCTCCTCCTCCGCCGCCGCCTTTCCCCTCCCCCTCTCCGCCTCCGCCGATTTCGCCGGCCGGTGTCGGTGACAGGAAAGGGTCTCTAACGGCCGTTTCCTGGGTATTCTTATATTCTCTTCATTATTGCAAGCCCCAGACCGTTCGGGGGGTCGGACCCACTAATTAGGCTATTGGGACCCTCGTTCCCCGTGCGTTTCACCGGGCAGCGTTCTATACCGCTTTAAATGAGAACTCCCTCAAATTGATGCCAGCCCCTGGATGAAATATTCGACCCGAGGATGGAAGGGGGCTTCGAAATTAGCCAATACTTAGTTGTGTTCAGTGAAAAATAGACTTTGTGTGTAGCTGTCTTTTTTCGCCTTACTGTCCCCGCCTCCGTTGACGTATTTGATCCCTACGTTATTTTATTTTCATTTTATTTCATTGCCACTGCGGAGTGGACTTCACACGGGTTACTCTGGAAAGAGAAAAGATTGCTAAAAAAAAAAAAGAGTTGCTTACTCGGAATGAAAAATAGTGATATGGTGTGGGTCGTGGTGTTAAATTGATAGTCTTTTAGTAGTCTTATTTATGTGAATTACTCTTTTAAACCCGAGGTAGGAAAAATAATCTTGACATAAATATTTGTTTCTAGTTCAGATGTTTTTGCTAATCGTGTAAGTTGCGAGCAAGAGCAATGATGTGAATTTGAAAATGAGCTGAAAACCCAGTTGTAAATTGTAAGGCAAAATAACTATAGAAGTATTGGGGAAGTATTATTGCTGGATTTTAAAAATATCTTTAAAGGTGGAGTTTTTTTATGTAGGAAATATGTCTACTCAATAAGTTGCTTCTTTAATCTTTTGTGATGCTACTAGTATTTTTACTATGAAAAGCACCCTGAGGTTGAGGAAGTGTGTTTCCTGAAAATTTAAAATAACTTGCATGGAATGAGTATATTTGCTTGGTTTAATAATGCATAATTTTTATGTAACTGTAACCTCTTTGTATATCACCCTTAGTATAATAATAAACCCTTACTTTAAATGAGGTTTTTGTTGTTGAAAGCTTGGAAATCATAAAGGAGAGAAAACATTTGCCCATTACTGATGTCCTCTCATTTTTATTATTACTATTATTTTGGTACCTGAGATCAACAGGGGATGTTTCATTTGCTAGGCATGTGCTATGTCACTGAGCTGCATCCCAGCCCTTGTAAAAAATTTATTTCTAATTCTAGCATTGAGCAAAGTTGTTAATCTCATTTTAAACATTCTCATGTATACATAAAATTCCTTTGTACAAGTATATTGGTATATCTATGTGATTTGAAATTTTCATTGCTTTTTAGTAATTGCAGCCATATCCTGGGTATCTCTAAGGAGATATTGTTTCCTTATAGAGTGACTTTTAAAAAATTTAGTTTCATGACGTCAAAATTTTATTTATTTATTTTTTGGTGCCTGTCCTGGAGCTTGAACTCCGGGCCTCAATTCTGTCCCTGAGCTTTCTTTTGCTCAAGGCTAGTATGCTACCACTAGGAGCCACAGCTCTACTTCCTGCTTTTTTGGCGTAGTTTATTGGAGGTGTGTCTCCTGGACTGACGGATTGGATTTGTATCAAGATCCTCAGATCTCATCTTCCTGATGAGATTAGGATTACACGAGTGAGCCACTGCACTTGGCTGGTTTCATAATTTTTAATTAGTTAAATCTAAGCACTTAGAAAAAAAAGGCTGGCATCAAGACATTTTGCAAGGAGTATTAGACAAGGCAGTTTATTACAAGAGAATTATTTTCTATACATGTTAACAATGCATTATCTGAAGACAGTTTTTTTTTTATTATTTGCCATCCCAATAAACTATATCCTCTCATGTTCATTAGCTTTTACAAAAATTCATCCATATGGGTAGTATGCTGACGTTTAGATAGAGTAAGAAATCTGTGTACCTCTGTTTTAAGACTATATTGGCTTTGGTTTTTAATGTAAGCTCCACTTCTTAGGAGTCATGTAACCTTAAGATGTTTCTGGTCTTTGTTTCTTATTTTCCTCATTTATAGAATCAGAATAACAAGGTTGATCTTAGAGTTTTGTTAGGATGAGTTAAAAATGTAGAATAATGTGGTACTAAGTACAGTACTCATATTACATCATTCCTATTTGTTAACAGTTAATTACAGTGTGGTTTTTTTTCTTTTTGCATTTCAACTTCTGGCTTTTATCAGGTAGTTTTATATATTATTAGCTAAATGTAAGTTAAATGAAAATTGAAAGTTGTAGTTTTTCAAAAGTTTGCAAATATACACGTGAAAATAAAATAACTATATGAGTGACATTTTTATGTTAAAATTTTGATCCTGTGAATTGAAACTGTTAAGCCACTTACATATAGTATAAATGAATTGCCACCTGTTTATGTAATTTTTTTTGAATACCAGAAAAGAATGTGAATACCAAGAATTTTAAATCATTAGATGTATGTTATGTGACTCTTTTTCTTTTTCTTTTTTAATTTTATGGTCTTTTATTGACAGTCGAAACTTGAACAGAAGCTACAATTTTATCTTTTTGTGTGTGTGTGCCAGTCCTGGAGTTTGAACCCAAGGCCTGGGCACTGCCCCTGATATTTTTGCACAAGTCTAGCCCTATACCATCTGAGCTACAGGTCCACTTCCAGCTTTGTGGCGGATTCTTTCTGTCCAGGCTGACTACACTGTGATCCTCATATCTCAGCCTTGTGGGTAGCTAGGATTACAGACATGAGCGACCAATACTGGGCTCAGCTTATCCCTTTTACTCAGTATGTTTAAATTTTGCATTACTTGGTATTGTTGAAGGTGATTTGATCTCTACACAGGTGTGGCTTTATTATGGCCATAATTTATGCCATAAGGTAATGGGGTTTAGCTCTCAATTTTTTTCTCCCTTGGGAGATACAGGTAGGTAACTCAAAGCCTCAAGTTATATTGCTAAAATTTTATTTAGAAAATAGTTTCATGTAAGAATTAGTTTAAAAATCTGGTATTAAAACTCTTTAAAACTTAGCAAGTGTTGAAAGCCATGTAAAAAATATTGTAACTGTATAGTGCTAAGGAATATTATTGGTAAACATCTACTACAGGAAAAGGGTGAAATGTATGGGCAATGTTATATAACATTAGATTGCTAATATTTATTGATTCTTACTACACGATGTAGTAAATTACTAATTTTGAAAACTTTTTGTCAAGTGGAAGGAGTGAAGGCCAGCTGAATGGTGAAACAAATACACCTATTGAAGGAAACCAGGCAGGTGATGCAGCTGCCTCTGCCAGGAGCCTACCAAATGAAGAAATAGTACAGAAGATAGAGGAAGTACTTTCTGGGGTCTTAGATACAGAACTACGATATAAACCAGGTAAGCTGGAGATAAAGCATCTCAAAATTTTTTTTTTGAAATTTCAAAGCTCATAGTGTCCTTCCTTCTGTCTGTCTGTCCTTGTTTTGGTCCTAGGCCTTAAAAAGCTGTCCATCAGTTTTTCTTTTTCTCTCCCCCCATCCCCCCCCCCCCCCCCCCTAAAAAGCTGTCCAT